TGTTCCTGGCTCGAATCGATACCCGATCTTCCAGTCCGCGGCTTAGTGTCTATCCTGACTCAGTTACCATGGTTCCAGTTAGGGTTGAGCATTACAAGTTATTTGTGGTGTTGACGTAACAAGTAGAGCGATTACATACCGAAGACCACCCATTTCTAGGACACGCGCTAAGGTGTTGCACAAGATTAAGCAGTGTGTGCCTGTGATCGACTTGCGGTTGTGATCGAACATTGGTCTCGAATTTGCCACCTGTCGTCCTTGACTTAGCAGGCAATTTATTACAGAGAGTCAGAGACAATACAGGTGAGGAAATCAGAGCACTCGGAGGACACACCTCGTTGTGCGGTTGTATGTATCTAACATCAAGAGTGTTGACTTCTAGGAGACGAAGGAAAATGTGTCACAACGTGACATGTTCTCAGGTTACGGGTTCCTCTCTTTTCTTTGAAATAACAGTCATGTGTATTCTTCTTACTATGTGGAGATAAAACTCCATTCTAAAGAAATTGTATATTTCTTTTTAGATTATTATGCTTCTGGTCTTCGCTCATCATTTAGTGTTATGAAAGAATACAACGTTTCAGAAACTCGATGTCTGCATCCACAAAAGAAAGGGTGTGAGGCATGTTACTTAGTTGGGTAAAGAGACAGCATCAAATCTCAGTCGCTGCACAACCTACATCAGCCAGCTATATCTGTATAAAAACCTAGGATAGGATTTAGTCAACTAGAGAAAATTTACGATAAAAATTGAGAAAATACTAAATAATATCTAAAATCAGAACAAAGAAGATAGACGAAAATAAATACATCAATATCTAATACTGTTTATTGTACTACACAGTCCGTCAAAAATGCAACAAATTGTTCCTTCTTTCTTACACTTTTACTTTCGACACAACATGTTTCGGCCATAAATGGCCATCTTCAGGTGTCTTATACGTACTATGTGTAAGAGAGAAGGAACCATTTGTTGCATTACTGACGGGCTGTATAGTACAATAAACAGCATCAGCTACAGTAATGCGACCGAGAGACCGCCGCTTGTCGGCGAAGTTAGTACCAACTTTAGCTGATGGAGGGTGTCACGTGGTCAGCGCAACGGCTCCCCACGGTAATCTAGATCAGAGTCGCTATTTTTCCATTCAAGTAACTCCTCAATTATCCTCACGAGGCTTGAGTGGATCCCGTTCAAGACCCACTACTTCTCAGAAAATTTGGTAGCGCCGGGAATCGAACCCGGACCTCTGGATCTGTAGCCAGGAACTCTGACCACTAGACCACAGAGGCGGTCTGAAATACTGAAATAACCAGAAAATTTCAGGAGACGTATGAGTTGGTTATGTATGAGTAACCGTAACAGTTGTGCGTTACAGATGTTGCACGCATCAGTGCATTCTACACCATCATTCTCTCGAATAAGGTGTTAATGGTAGCTGAAACAAATCTGCTTTTACCGGTTCTCACGGTCTCTTCGCTTGCGGATTTCTTATATTTTTCCTTCTACCCTGAAGATGGAGGCGATACGTTCCTCCGAAACGTCGGTTAACACCACATATACACGGTGCCAAATCCCAGAAGACTGCTTTCTTCAAATCTGTGAGAAATTGCTGTCACTACTGCAGCCGAGAATTAACTGTCATAATGGTAATCTCATTATTTTAGTACGATAGTTTACGTTGCATAGCATAGAATTGTTTAAGAGGCTGCCAGTTACTGAAATGGCCAAGAACTCTACTTAATTCTATTGAACTTTAATAAAGACTGATTTGTTCATCAAACCCGCCATCTTAGTCCAGTCGAATTCAACTGAGATACTCACACATTGCTCATTTAAGATTAATCTTTATTTTATTACAAGGTTACACATTTAATTTGCTTATAATTCAGCATAGTGAAGGACAATTGACTATGTCGTATATTGTGGCAAAGCTGTTGCCATGGAATTTAGTTTCAAATAGGAATGTTACAGGGCCCACAGCACACCTTCGTCCTTCAGATTTTATAAATTGGTATCAGCTATTCAGCCAATTATCGTTATGTCAAGGGCCTCTCAACGACCGCAAGTTAACATACAATTGTATACGTAAAATTGTGAATCACCTTGAAAACTATGAAACGCGCATCTTCTCTGTTTAAATTTCCATCAGCCAGATGCTTGACCTCAATCACATTTTTGCTCTTACAAAACAAACTCCGTGGCCTTTAGTCCGCAAGCGAACTACACCGATCGAGCGACCGCTGTTTGTCGGCGAAGTTAGTGTCAACTTTTTGCTCTTACGCTTAATCTATTATTTCGTTAGTTAAATGATTAAATGTCTATTTCAAAAGCGGCCTACGAGTATTGAAGTGCGGCATTTAAAATGGACAGGTGTATCTGCTACGTCTGCCAGTTACTGCATAATTATCATTATGCTTATAGATGCCAGTGGGATCATTTTACAATGCCGGATTCAGTAGCATGAAGTATGTGTCCAGGTAGATTTTTCCTTATAATTTTATGATCGATTATTATATCGATATAAATCTCTTTGCCGGTTCATTACATTTCTATGATTATGCCATATTAATTCTTCAAGGGGCCCATACACTTACGAGTCTGACTCGCGAGTCCGACTCGGCTAGCGTTCCAATGAACCAAACTCGTCCGTGTGTGGTGAAATTAATCCGATTCCGGCTCCCGAGTCAAGATCGCCGAGCCAGACTCGTACGTATATGGGCCCCTTTACATTTGCGTAACTGGCTGCTAGACTAAACCTCAATAAATGCATTACACAGCCAATTGCGTGTCAGTTTAGAACACATGTTTTTACGCATATGAATCAGTAAAATAACTGGAAAGACATGAGTCACAGATTTGAAAGTGAGGTGTGCGGATTTCGTGCTTTATGTTGGTCTCATTTTGGAGGGTAATTATGAAGCGTGGAATGCAGAACACCCATAAGTTTCAGAATAATGCAAGTACATGTTGCGCGGTATCAGATAGACCAAATTTGCTACGGCGATTTGCGAGGTACAGAAAAGCTACAATTTGTGAATACACCTAAGGACTTCAAAGCGCAGTGTTGCTATGTGCATCGCCTGCATTAAGGTAAAAGTAAAGCTACCACTCGGCTTAATTAATTAAATCACTACCCCATGAAGACATATGTGGTAATGGAGGTATAGCTCCTCCATTCTTCGCGTCGGCACTAGGCATCTACCAAACTACAAGGCGTCACATTCCAGAGGAGCTATATTTGTACCCGGCCATGAAGATACAAATGACGCGGAGGTGAACCTCGAACCAATAACTTTGACCCTAGTTGGAGGTGAGTGGTCAGGTTCACGCCCCTGCCGCTTTACCCCTGGAGAAACAGCCCTGGTACACACTAATATCATTTGTACTAACATTCAGAACTCTACCGTATGAGGACCTTCATATCTTGTACTCTTCTCCAAGTATAATTGGAGTGATCAGTCAAGGAGGATGAGATGAGCGGGGCATATAGCACGAATGGGGAGAAGAGGAATGCATATAGGATATTGATGGGAAAGACAGAAGGAAGGAGACCACTGGGAAGACCAAGACGTAAATGGATGGCCAAAATTAAAATTGATCTTATAGAGATAGTATGGGATGGTATGGATTGGACTTATCTGGCTCAGGGTAGGGGCCAATGGAGGGCTCTTGTGAACACGATAATGAACCTTCGGGTTCCATAAAATGCTGCACAATTGGCGGCTTCTCAAGAAGAGCTCAGATCCATGAGTGAGGGTTCTGATGCTTACTCTTCCACAGTGAAGATGAAGGCGTAAGTTCCTCCGTAATACTGGTAAACTTTTACAAAACTACAAGGCCTTACAACTAAAAAAATTGTAGAATCCTTCATGTTCACTGCTGTGAAAACCTCAAATACGATAATTTTACTGGAATTTGGAAGAAAAAAAAATAAAGATGCAGAGACTGGATGAGATGATTTAAGACAGCAGCAAGAGTACGACATACCTTGACACATTGTCTTTAAGCATTGGAACTGGGGAGAATCCATTCTGCTATGAAAGAACATGATCTGCTGTGCTACCAACTGGCATGTCCTAAAACTAGCCCAAACTTCTTAATCTAATTAATTTTAGGGGGAAATGTTAAACGCATTGCTTAAATAAACAAATGTTATAAACTCCGCAATTGTCCTTGTATAATCACTGAAGACACAACACTACTAAGGTAATGTAAGTGAAGTACTGCTTGCGTGTAATTGCTCTAACACTAACCTCAAATTTACGCATGATCCACGGTTTCACTACCACTACTGCAGCTATAAATTAAATTAACAAAATATTATGAATATTTTGACATACCTTGTATAAGAATTTCATTCTCAATATCCAGTGTTTTACGTACACGATATTCCGAATGTTACTCCACAGATGTCGTACACATAACACCAGTTCATGCTGCGTCATTCGATTAGTAATCGTATCATTACAGTAGCGATCATCAACTTCACATAAATGACAAAGAAAACGATGTACCGAATGAGGATTCATGAGCTTCACTCTTAGTTCTTACAAATTCAAGATAAAACTTAAATTTCCCCTCATTTTAAATTGCAGATACTACGATCATACGAGATTTACCAGCGAAGTTTTAGCTCAGCCTACTTTGTTTTCAGTGATAAAATTTCAATAGTAAATATTGTTAACATATCAGTAATGAATGCCACGTGTTTTTTGGACACTAAACCAAATTATACTGCACTTGTGACATCTCAGTAAGAATATGTACTTCACCGTTTAGCACTATACCTATTACAAATTAACTGATCTTTCTACAGCTGGCACACAAAGCAATTCAAACAGCAATATATCCAGATAATCTGATCGAAATCTGTAGTATGTGACTAATTGCAGTACACAACCTAACAAAACTGCACATACGAAAATTTCCACATCCAAAACTAAGGTAAGGGTATGTGTAAGAAAAATATGTCGAGTCAAAACTGAAATAGACAGAAGGATAACAGAACAATTATATGACTTTATTTACTTAGGAAACAATTTCTGGACTGAAGAAAAATGTCATAAAGTTACAAAGATACAATAAAATAAATGGTATAATTCTGGCAGACAAATGTTAATTCACACAACTTTACAGCTACATAAATCACAACAATTACAGCAATGAAATACAGAATTTAAAGCAAAAGGAATTCCAGAAATTAGAGGTAGTGCACATGCTGGTCTAAGATCACCACCAGGCTTCACTAGATTAGACCATGAAAGAAAGCCTGAAGTCCTGACAACTGAGTTATAAATGTAGTTGAGAAGATACCAGTATATCAACAAAACTGGAAAAATCATTTGCAAAGAGACTGCCTTCCACAGCTGGCATTCTACTACCAAAGTGACAATCATGGACTGCACAGGAAAAGGCCTTAATGACCTAGCCCATCAAAGTCAACGTTAATTACTTTAAATATTCATATTGTAATAATGATAAGAGAAAAACTGACATGAGTAGGGCATCTCAGCACAACAAATTTCACATTCTGAGACATCATGGTCCATCAATTAAATTAAAATATTTTGTGCCATGCAAATTCATTATCTCTAAACACAGAATACCAGAAAAGAGGAATAACCGAATAATCACAGCAGCACATCCAAGAACTAAAAGCACATACAAAATCCAATAATATTAAACAAGAATAAATTCATAAGTAACAAAAGTTAATCTTTGGAAGATTCCATAATCATACAAATTTTAATATTCTGCACTGATTTATTTCCTATAAATAATGCTGCATTAGTTAATAGTTATTATTCATCATGCAGATTTGGATTTCCTGATACCGTGTTTCCAGCGGCCACATTTAAACATGGCGATAAGAGTTTTACTGTAAACAATGCAACATGTCCTTTTGAACCATCACATTAACACAGCACAATTGTGCACCATATGGACAACATGACTATGGGCTTCTTGGACATGAAACCATGTAGCCTAGCTGTAAGGCGCCAATTTTTTAAAGGAACCTGCTGCCTCCAGGTATCTCTGAAACATTTGTACCTTTCCACTAGATTACAAAGCGTCCCAACCCAAAACCTATAATCGTACTACTCACCATGAGAATTTAAAACATAATTATTAAGCATCATACAAGAGAAAAGGTTACATACATAATCTGAATTGGAAAGGGCAGATGCAAGTATTGGCAGAACTGTCTAGATAACCCAAGAAAAACCACAAGAACTGCAGTCATATGACACCAAACACCTTGCCCAAGACTCAAAATAGGGTAGATCCTGAATACATCACATATGCCATTGACGAGCAAACTTGTTTAGTCATCCTGATAGGAATGTCAGCACTGCTGCCATCCTTAAACATGAAGTCACGGTAACCTATAGGATGACTTTCCTTCAGTGTTGCCAGAAACTAGACTAAAGAAAAAGAGACTGTATGATCAAACTGTTAATATGAAACACAATCACCTGGAACTTATTTACTACAGTCCAATTAGTTAAACAAATCTTAAACGAGTAACAATAAGAAAAATAATAATACTGAAATACTTTCTGTATAACAGCAGAGGTACTCAACAAAATAGCAAACTGTATCTTCTCCTCTTCTTGGCATTATTCTTCACAGGTTTCCTATCTTCCTTCTCCATAGTAATGGACTTGAACATATCTCTTCCACTTACAAGTAGGTCTCCTGCCCTTCAGGTGATGATCAGTGCAACACATGTTTAAAAAACGTGTCCTCCTTCATTTATTCATTGTGACAGAAATTTATAAAACTTTAATAATAACTTCGCATGAATGCTGGAAACTGAAATCATGCTAACAATTGTCATATACATGCCAAACAGTATTATATGATTCAAGCATAACTAAAAATTCAGAGATCAAGCTATCTTTACAAGTAGTGTTTATTGATATCTGATACAGTAATCTTTGTACACAACTAATGAGACATAAAATATGTATATACACAAGAATTTCATAACATTTACTTTTGTGGTGGGAAAGCCAATGTTGGGACTACACATACTGTAACACAGCATAAAATAAAACGAAACAGTGACAAACTTACAAAGAGGGATATAATAATAAAACAAAACAGGATATTACTTGCACCCTTTAAATATGACTATTATTTTTGACACAGTACATCCTTTAAACACAATGCATCAGAAAACACATGTTTCCATCATTAAATGCAAGAAGGCAAGGTTCCTATACAGCTGAGCCTACCAGAAAAGAGCTACCCCTGTTTACTGGACACTGAAATAGGTTATATAACCAGTATTTTCTGTCTATCGATGTAAGACTAGCTCGTTATAATAGGGCCACCTTAATGAGAACACTTCCTCCCTACACCTGTTGACAACAGCAGATCAAACAGTGTTTGAGAAAGCTCAAGAAAATGGAGATGTCCAAAATACTAGTCATGTTTATTGCAACACCACCATAACCAGAACATATAGACTTAATTTTCAGGCTTATTTCACATCCTGTGTCATGAACAAGATATTTGGTTTTATGAAATCTACTCACTAAAGCAGAATTGCCTGAAATACAAAATGTGATATGCTAATTAATCTTCTACAACAAACTGTATCTTTTGTATGCTAGTAAACATATAAATTTTCTAATATCTTTAAGAAAACTGCCAGTATTAACACTTCATGTATGCTGCTTACACATTTACATGCTTCTGATTACTAATTACTACATGGAGAGAAAAATATACAATGAAGAAACCAAATTCATTCTGGATATAGTTAACACATTACACTGCCTAGTGTCCGCCTGACACAGAGCTTCATTAAAATGAAACACCCTTCTAAATCCTAAAACACCTTACTTTAATACATCTTATTCTTTATTACAGCTATCTGTTGAAGTTAAAAACTGATTCAAATATATATATATATATACACAAGACAGGCATTGATTGCAGTACTTTATGCCAAATTGCTGATTTATACTTCTTTTATACCTTTGGGTAGCTATTACAAGGAATCTGCATAGTCCACAAACAAACATCTCTGACACCTGAAGATACAAGATTAATTACTATAATTCATGTGCAATTTTCTACATTACTTCCTAGACATGCCCAACTTTCCATACAGTTTCAGTACCTGAAAAAGTGGAAAAATACAAGTACAATGTCTTATGGAATATAGTTCAATTTCCAGTTAATACAAATGAAAAAATGCACCCATAATACACATAACCCAGGCATTTATTATCATTATAAAATGTATTATACAATAATCATATTGGGTATGACAGCACAAGAAATTGGCAGTCAGTTCCCTTGTCATAAACATACTATATTAAATGGCATGTACATCACTGAACTCAAAATAAATCTATGTAAGCTATTGTAACGCAATTTCAATATTTTCTCACACACCCCACCAGCACAAGTATGACAATTATTATTACATTTACCAAAATCTGCCACAGGGCTTGTTTGTACAAGAGAAATAAACAAAGCAACTAAAGACATAATTTGTGTGTATGTGTTGTGAAAGAAATGTTAAACAAAAGCCCAAGTTTACATTATGAACACTTATATATTTAACGACCACACCTCATAAAATTGGCTATATGGATTGGCAACACTGTCTGTAAAATATGTAGGAGAAAAACATAAACAAAATGAAGATTACTGTCTCCTGTGATTTGACGCCCTGTAGTCGGGGAGACGGAGGCAGCAGGTTCCTTCCAAATGTAGGTAATAATCTATGAGACTGTACAGCACCACATCTCAGAAGACTGTGACCTTCATAGCTACTGCCATGTGATCAAATCTCACATACACAAAAACACTTTCAAAAAACACCCCAACATCATACAGTAATGTACACAAAACCAAAAATTTATTTAAAGCACTTGCTGGGGGGGTGGAATTTATTTCAAATAAACAAAGTTTCATACAGCATCGCTTGAATCAGATACCAGTTCAATCGTTGACAGTAGTGCTTCCATTTTATTTTCAACTGCAACTGTTTCTACAGATTCCTGTGGAGATGGAGATATTAATGTGGTTTTGTTATCTTCTTCTATACAAGCCTCTAACACCGTGTGCCCATCAAAGTCTTCGACAGCCATCACCATGGTACCTTCACTGTCATAACTCCCATCACCATCATCTGCATCGCATGTCTTCATTTTCTTCTCCAAACTGTCTGCTGAAGAAGAAGTTTTTCTCTTCAGACGACCAGCAGGTGCTTCACCACCAGATTCCTTTCCTGACGATGCTGATCTTGTTTTTCTAGGATGGTATTCAGGCATAGCTTGAAGTTTTTCAAGTGCAGTCTTCAGTGGCAAAAGTCCGACAGCATACGGTATATCCTTACTTGGAGAAGAAACAGCACCTTCACTGCTATCAACATGGGCTTGAAGAGCATTTTCACCCATGTTTATACTCGCTGATATAAATTCTGTGTCACTATTCTCCACAAGAACTGTAGATTCACCGTCCATCTTGCAATCTTCCTCTGGTTTGTTTTCTGGATCAGATTCACAGCACGGGATCTCAGTTGTTTCCTTACTTTCAATTCCTTTATCTGAATTGAAGTATATTTCTGTTGCTTCCTTGCTTAATTCTGTATCCTGTCTATCCCTGTCTTGTTTAGCTGTTAAAACATTTCCTGTTATACCTTGCTGAACAGTACCTGGAACAAATGAATCTAATATTGTGTTATTCTTCAGTTCAGTCTTTGCTTCTGCTGATGCAGCAACCCTGCTTGAATCGAACAACTCGTTAACTGAATTAGTTTTATCTACAGTGCCCTCCTCATCCCCAGTTCCAGCAACTGGGTCAGTGAGAGCTTTTACAGGTGGAGACTTGTCATCTCCACTGCCACAGACACGTATTGAATTTTCAGTACTGCATGTGGCAGCATCTGTTTCTGCACGTGAAACTTCATCTACTTTATCTACATTACTGCTGAAACCAATATTAGAAGTAGTATCAGTTTCTGAAAGTACTTCTTTGACAGCTCCATTACTTGAAATTGTATCATTCTCAACAACAGGGGATGCTGAATTTAGTTCTGAAGTTGGTATTTCAGTAGTTTCATCACCATCACCAGATTTATTTGCTGATATGTTGTTTGATTCTGATCCTTGTTTAGTTTTATCGAAACTAACATCATCTGATGCTGATTCATAGGATTTGGTTTCTGAAGCCAGATCAGAATTAGATTGTAAGGAAAATGAATTGCTTATTTGCACAGGTATTGTATCCACTTCATTAGTTACAGCCTGCATCCTAGGTTCATCTGTTTCAGATCCATTAATTTCTACATAGTTAGAATTTTCATACTTTTCCATACAACTAGCCTCACTGGGCAAAATATCAACACCAGCTGAACCACTGGACTTGAGTACTGAAGTTAATGTCGATTCAGAAGGATATTTAACCTCTGTTTGTCCAACCTGATTTATCTGTGCTTGGCTATAGTTTTCAGATTCAACTGACTTCATTTCAACCTGCTGACCTCCTTCAACAGATTCTACCATATTCTCTGCTTCTGAATGAGTTTTATCATTTCCAGTACTATCAGGGCTGTTAAGAGCCAAAGTAAATGAATCATTTACAGATCCTTCCCCCGTTGATCGACTCTCATCTTCAACCTTTACAGAATCATCATCTGGGCTGAGAACAAGACGCAGATCTTCTGTTTCCTCATCAATGGAGCCCTCATTTTGGGTGCTATGACCTTTCGTATCACGATGTGAGATTATGGGTTTGACCTTGGTGATGCCATCTGCATCAGTGTTAGCACTAACTTCCATCTCGGTGTCACTCCCTTCACCCATCATTGCTTGCAATGCTTGCTCCACAGACATGCCTCCATTTTCTGGTACTTCTGCTACCTTTTCGGATTCGGATGTGGGGAATGACTTGTCCTCTACTGCACTGCTACAAGTCTGCTCAGGAAAGGTAAACTTAGTCGTGTCTGACCCTGCGTAATGCACTCTTGTCCTTCCCACATTCACTTTTGTGTCCATTACAGCAAAACCTTCCATAGCTTCTTCTCCGTAACCATCTCCAGTTATTACCTCATCAGAATGTGATGGAGGTTCAGTGGCTGACTGGGGCATCACTCCTTGATCAACCTCCATTGGTGTACTATCTGTCACTACTCCAGTTTCTCCCATTACCATTTGATTTACTTCGTACTGAACTGGATTCCTACTGCAAGAGAGTGCAGTGTTATTTTCATTTTGAGAAGCTGCAAGCTCGATGTCCATTGCTTCATTTCTTTCAAGAGAAGGTAAGTCTTTCGCCCCCTCTTTACCACAGGTCTCATTTCCCTGTTCTCTGAAAGGTTTGACTATGTCTGTGTCAGTTTCAGTGGTAGCTGATGATTCTATTATGGTGCTGCTGGATTCTTTTATTTGCATCTGTTCATTTACTGCAATATTCTCAGTAGCATTCATTTCTGCACTGACCAACTGTTCTGCTGCTGCTTCAGCAGCTTCAACTTGACCTTCAGTCACTTCCTGAACTTCCTGAACAATGAACTGAACACCTTCACCACCAACAATACTTCCATCTCCTACCTGAATCACCCCACCGTTCATGATATTCATAAGCACCTCTTCATTCACAGTCACATATGAACCATCACTGCTCTCTAATAAAATTGGAACATCAGATGGAAGGCCTGCTTCCTTCAGCACTTCCATGTACTGACTCATGGCTGAGCCAGATCCTGCATTGCTATTATCAGCAACCTGATATATGATGTTTGTACTGTTACTTCCCTCAGCAGAAGTACCAGTATTATCAGCCACCTGATAGATAATATTCTGGCTGCTAGAGTCTTGTCCAGACACCAGAGCATTATCAGCTACTTGATAAACAATATTTGTGGTACTGCTGGAATCCTGGCCTGCAATAACACCCTCTTCCAACTGATAAACAATATTTGTCTCATTATTTCCAGAGTCAATGGCAGAAACTGAATTCCCAGCAACTTGATTTATAATGTTCTGACTGCTTGGTTCAGGTGCATTTACAGAAGTTGCTTGTGTAACAATGTCTGTCTTTGTGGCAACCAGTTTGGTGGAAGCCACTGGTTCTTTACGCAATATTCTTGGAGCTGTTGTTAGGATGTTATTGACAGGTTGTGGTGTTGGCGACTTCGATAAAATCTGTTTCACTGGCATAATTTTCTCCTGTGTGCACTCAGTTGACTGAGTCACACCTGCAGCAGACGTTTCATCTCCTGTTGACATCTCTTGCTGCAACATTTCCAATGCCTTACGGCTAGCTTCAGCTTCCTTCTGCAAAGCCATGTCTGCATCTGTCAACACTTTCTCTTGAAACACAAGGTTCATTTGTCTCTTCAGTGGACGTCCTCTCTTGCAAGGTCCATCTTCTACAAAAAGCACCTGTGATGTAAGATCATCCTTTGCTGTTTCCACTACTTTCTCAGGAACAGCTGGCTGTTCTTTTCCTTTATCTGTCAGTTGTGTGGGCAATTTAACTGATGCTGGTTTTACTCCCCCATTTGGGGTAACAACAGGCACACGATCAATAACTTCTGATTTAACAGGAGTTTCCTTATTCTTCACAACTGAAGACTCCAGAGGGCAGGATCTTAAAGGTTCCACAGTGACAGCACCACTAGAAGAAACACCATGATGGAACCTCACATTCTTACTGACAGTGTGGAACGTCTGTTTGGGAAACTCAGTGCCTGAAAGTGACAGCAGAAGCTGAGCTGTGTCAGTTTGCTGTTGCTGCTGATGGGTATCCTGTCGAACTGGTACCGATTTTGGTGTAGTTTGAAAAATAGTTTTTCCGGTAGTCGTGGTGTGCATGTCACCCCCAGAGCCATGCACATGGGAACTAGCGGCATGCGTTGTGGATGACGAAGTTTTTAACCCACTTGCCACAAACGTCTGCTGCATACCAACACGTTTTGACCTACCAACAAACGCTTTCCTTGCTGAATCACCTGCAACAGTAACAATAACTCTTCAATGAAAAGAAATTATAAGCTTTTACATGGAGTCCACTGCGGCAAAGAAAAATATCGTCAGTGATCTGTGAATCTGAACATTTCTACACTGTGGTTGCTTGTGTAAACTTACTGGATTACTTAAAGTGTCAGTTGTAAGACATGGCATAATTATGACAAAAAAGAAACTCCATGGCCTGTAGTCTGCAAGCGAACTATACTAACCTAGTGACCACCGATTGCTGGCGAAGTTAGTGCCAACTTCTGCAGATAGAGGGTGTCACATGGTCAGTGCAACGAATCCCCATGGCCGTTAATTTCGTTAATTTTCTAGATTGGAGCTGCTTTTCCTTGAAACAGATCCTCAATTATCATCACAAGGCTGATTGGACCCCATTCCAGACCCACTACTTCTCAGAAAATCTGGTAGCGCAAGGAATCGAACCCGGGACCTCTGGATCTGTTGCCAGGAACTCTGACCACTAGACCACAGAGGTGGTCCGATAATCCAAATACCAAAATCAAAATGTACTGCGTGAACTGAAAACCTGTAGTCTACTGAGCATCTATGGATACTGAACAGTGAGACAAATATATTTCCAATCCAGGAAGTTAACTCCTGTTCAGCCGCAGAAGGTTGGCAGCAGACTGGTAAGAAAACGAACGAAATAAGAAAACAGAAAGTTGCAACAGGGTGAGAAAGTGTACAGTCTACTGCAAATCAATGTAGAGCATCTTCGATTTATCTTCCTGAAACAGATGTAATGGCCTACAGTAAGCTACAACCAATATTTGAGAGATTCTACAAAAGTCCCACAGTTAATGTGTAAAGCATACAATCAAGTCTTAATAACAACTGTAAATATGGTTGAACAACTGAACTAGACCAAATTCTGATGCTTTGAACATAATGACAATGAGGATGACCCACTATGAACTGAAGCAAGTATGTCTAACATTTCACGACCAAAGCGCAAAAAGGCTGGTTGGCTGTAAGGAAAATTGAGAATGTTCATTTCTTGAGTTCAGTTTATGTACACGCATATAAACTGAATATTATGCATGTGCTGAAATAAAAATGATTACACAAAAAGAGACAGTGGAAACATGAAACCATTTCATGTTACCAGAAATTCATATACACAGAACATTGTCAGGATAACTTAGTGACAGTCTTGGATTATTTAACACTACTTCAACTACACAGGTTGTAGCAATGAATGAAAGGATGACTATGAATGACAAAATGAAAAGAACATGGAACCTGTTGTGGCTTAATTCAAGAGGCCATCCTGCAATTTGCCTTGAGATACATACGAAATCACAGAAAACTTGGACATCCAGGATCACAAGATGAGATTTGAACCTTGGCCCTCCTTGAATACAAACAGGTGTCAAGTGAAAAAACACATCAACAGAGAACCAAAGTCAGAATATCCAGCTGTACAGACTGATATATAGGCTTCCACCAACAAACAAACAAATTCACCTATACATGTAGGATTTAAGGTTCTCACAACGGTGATTATGAAGAGTTCTATCGCCTCGGATATAATGCCATGCAGTCCACTGGAAGTCAACTGACATTTCAGATGGATGTGTCTACTCCATCTTCAGTGTTGACAAATAAGCTAAGCAAAAAACCTGCAAGAAGCATACAGCAAGAAGGGCTACTGAATTATTTTTCAACCTTGAAGATGGAGGTGAAATGTTCTTCTGAAACATCTGTTGACTTTCAATGGGCTACGTGGCAATATATCCCAGAAGATAGAACTCTTCAGCCCTATACATGGTACGCAATTTAGTGACATGTTAATCTGATACATTACCATTAATTGTGGCTGTCTTTGGAGCTGTGGATGTTAATCCAAGTGCCTCCTTAGTCATTGCAGATAACCCTTTCACCTGCAAACAAAAAGATATCACATGAGAATTACATATATAAGCTATTTTATGTTTTTAGGAACTATCAACAACTTTTACAGTATTTAAATGTTTATTTAAAATCCCTTCCACTATATGTTTCAACCTGTACTGGTCATCTTCAGGTAGTACACTGTCAGGAATGACTAGCAAAGTGTTATTACTCTTCATACTGTCTTCTTGAAAACACAGATCTAGTGTTTAAAGAATGCATCCTGTTGTGTGTCGGTACTATATACAAGGTGCAATCCAAAAGTTCCCGAAATATATCAATAAAAACTATTACATCTTACCTCTTATTCTGCACCATCACCTTCAAAGTAGTCCCCTTGGGAGCGCATACACCGATCCCAGTGTTTCTGCCACTTTTCAAATGCATCCTGGAAGTCTCTCTTTGTTAGGGTGTTTAGTATCGTCTGTGTTTCCGCTTGAATTTCCTGAACTGTATCAAATCTTTGCCCCTTAAACTTGATTTTCATCTTGGAGAAGAGAAAGAAGTCACATGGAGCTAAGTATGGCGAGTACGGTGGGTGGGGAACAATGCCATCTTGTTTTTAGCCAAAAATTCCTGCACAATGTAAGCCGTATGTGGTCGTGTGTTGTCATGGTGGAGTACCCAGTTGTTCGTGCGCCACTTCTCTGGACGTTCTCTCCTCATGTTCTCCCTCAAACACCTTAGAACATCGCGATAGAACTCTTTATTGACTGTCTGACCAAGAGGGACGAACTCCTTATGAACAATCCTGTCAATATCAAAAAAACAGATCAACATGAACTTAATGTTGCTCTTGACTTTCGAGCTTTTTTTGGCTGAGGTGAAGAAGGGCGCTTCCATTGCAACGACTGCTGCTTGCTTTCAGGGTCGTAGCCATAAACCCAACTTTCGTCACCAGTGACAACGTTCAAAAGAAAGTTTGGATCCCCTTGAAGCTGTTGCTGAAGTTCCCTGCAGACTTCCAAGCGATGCTGCTTCTGTTCATTTTGCAGCAGTCGTGGGGCACAAACTTCGCCGCAATCCTCCTCATGTTCAGTTCCTCTGACAAAATTCGTTGACATGTACCATAACTCAGTCCCAAGGTGTTACAGAGGTCTTGGATGGTCAGTCTACGATCTTGCAGAATCAGATCCCTAACTTTCGCGACATTTTCTGGTGTTTTGCCTGTTGACGGCCGTCCCGAACGATCGTCATCATCAGTCGATGTTCGGCCATTTTTGAAACGCTTATACCAGTTGTAAGTTTGTGTCTGGCCTAAACTGTTGTCACCAGAAGCTTGCTTCAACATTTGGTACGTTTCTGCAGCGGTTTTCCCAAGTTTGAAACAAAACTTTATATAGACATGATGCTCTCTCAGGTCAGCCATCGCAAGACCGCAAACTCATGGAAACAACAATGGAAATATGTTCACCAACAATAAACCCAACCACTCAACTCGATGCCGCTTGCCACACTGATTCAAGAAGGATGTGTGAGGAGACACCAAGTGGTATTTCGATGTACTCATAACCATTCGCGCGCAAAATTCAAATTTCGGTAACTTTTGGATTGCCCCACAAATATGCAAGTTTTCATTTTTCCTGCCAAACACATCAAAAAACAAACAAACATCAAATAACTTGCTCATATTCCACTGTGCATATCTGAGTTTATTTGGTTGTACAGCGTTGCTACATTTTCGGCTCATGGAGCCATCATCAGGCGATACATAAACAAGTCTTAACAAAAGATAAAACAATTCCGTCCAGTGTGACAGTCACACTGGATGGAATTGTTTTATCATTTGTAATATTGTTAGTGTGACGGACCAGAATGAAACAAATCAAAGTCTTAACACTCTTGAATTGTGTATAATAAAAATTGGATTCCAATACAGTCAACTTCCAAACAATTACCGGCACCCAGAAACAGGGATCAATTTCAGCACTGAACCACAAGGACAAAATCTGACATCATTCCCTGCCTTTTTCCTAAAGATAAAGTCTGGGGTTCTGTGAAACATTTCATAACATGCTGGTGTTTTACAGTGAGGGGCTGTTAGCTTCCAACCCAACCACAAGTGGCTGCTGTCCACAACCTGAGGATGCATGATGATATGGTGGTGAGGGGACATTTCACATGGTTTGGGCACTATGATGTACTGAAATCAAAATTTAGCATTCAAACATTTAATGAATAGTTCTTCTGTTTCCAAATAAAGCTCAATATAAGCAATGCATAATTTTCCAGCACTTAGAGGAGTTCAGTTTAGTAAATAATTTTCAATCCATGTTAAAGTTCTCACTTTCCACGACTCGTATCTCAATCCAGGGCAGCTACAGTTGAAACGTCAATATTCATGTCTTCTCTCATCCAAACATTGTTTCTGCACAAGCATAATCTCTGATGAGAGATGTCACACTCTGAATATGCACCAAAATACCACTGCTTGTGGCATCATAGTTACTTGGATTCTTGATTGACTATCTTTCAATATTTATTTCCCAAGTTATTAATTCTTTTAGAAATTAGTTTATCATGATTATGTAAGACTTACTAGAAAATAATTTATTGATGTAATTTGCATGTGTGCCATTTAGTAAACATTTTTGTTTAGTGTTAAAGATAGGCATTCCCCAGAGATTTCTTTGACATTCATGCTACATAATTTAGGTTATATGCTCACCTGGAAGAACTTTGCAGCCTGCAACAGTGCAGATAAGTTGTCTTCAGTCACACTGGTCTCTCCACAGTACATGAATTCTATAAGGGATTTGAGCACGGAGAACTGCATATCCTTCAGTACTATCAAGGGGTACATGCCAAGCTGACGCTGCAGTATTGTCTGTAACAAAATATTCTTATGTGCTAAAACACAAGTTTCCAACCATAGTATGACACACATCAAAAACTGTATCAGCAGTACCTAAATATTTCAGAAATAAGACAAGCAGCCCTTATAAGCAGACACCATGCCATTAGATGTTTATGGGGAATGCAAGTAAACCTCAAGACATTCTCAAAACCAACATCCAATGAATGATTGACTAGATATGAATAACCCTTATAATCTGAAAAGTCAACAGCAGCAACAGAAAGAATCTGTCAGGAGTTAACCCTTCAGCATGATTTATATGCAAGGTACATCAAGCATTCAAATGTCTTTATGGTCATTTCATGTACAAAACTGTGTTCCTACAAATACTAACCATAAAAGTGAAAGCTGTGTACTGTTCGCTATTTTTACCTATAACTCTGCCTTCAGAAAGACTGAAATAAATTCCTTCACATTAACAATTCCAACCCTAATGAATATCAAGGGCCTGCAGATTCTTTTCAAAATGCATCAAACTGTTCAACTCATTGACTCATGGAGCTAAGTCTTTCTTGAGCAGCTGCCAATTATGCAGCTGCTCAAGAATTTTGCAGCAATTTATGAAACCTGAAGGTACATTACCGTGTTCACAAGAGCACTCCAATGGTCAATATCCTAAGGCAGATAAATCCAATCCACACCATCCTATCCTATCTCTCTAAGATCAATATTAATACTGTCCACTAACGTACATCTTGGTCTTCCTGTGGTCTCTTTCCTTCTGGGTTTCCCATCAATATTCTATATGCATTCCTATTCTCCCCATTTGTGCTACATGACCTGCTCATTGCATCCTCCTCAACTTGATCATTCTAATTATACTTGGAGAAGAGTACAAGTTATGAAGCTCCTCATTATATGAACTGTTCAACGTCTCAAAAAATTCCAGGACCTGTATCATCTGATTTATAATGTTATCAGAGATAACCGTTTGCCCATCTTTGAAGTAATATCCTTCTGAACCCGTTGCATGTGGTATAAAATCATATCAGTATGTTAGCCTGGAGGCCAGGTATCCTGAGTGAGGTTTTTCAGTTTTCCTCAGTCCTTGTAATCAGACACGCTATAAAGCAGGTAGTAACTCATCTCGTGCACTTCCTGACTTTCTCACTGCCCACAGGACATTATATAACATATGCACTTAGCATAGAATTATTAAATGAATTAAGTAGAAAAGTCCTCTTACATACTGGTGTTATTTTCATGACGCTATTAGTATCTAGACCAGGGGTCTCCAAATCTTCGAACCGCGGGCCACATTAGGTAATTCAGCACTTTCAACGGGCCAGATAAAATGAGAAATTAATAACTCTAGGTATATGAGTTTTATTGAAAGCACAGAATTTCATAAACTAAATACAAAGTACGTGAGAATAAATTATCGTATATTAATGACAACAGACAGTAGCAGCAAATGCTCATATTTTCATCACAAATTATATTAAAACAATTAATGTGAATGATGGAACTCTTTTTGCATTCTTAAAATCTGATTAAATTGAGGTTCAAACGTTGAAATGCTAATCACAAGTAGCGACTTTAAATGTTCATTGGATAAATTTGCCCTGTATTTCGACTTGATGTACTTCATCTGGGAAAAAGTTTGTTCACACAGATACGTCGTCCCAAAAATGGAGATAAATTTACAAACAAATATCTTTAAATTTGGAAATTGCTCAGAGTTCAGAAATTTATAAAATTCGATCAAATTTCCTTCCTTGTATTTGTCTTTAATATGATCATTTTCCTGAAGTTCAATAATTTCCATTTGAATTTAACTTGGGACATCTGCAGCATCACAGTCAAATGGACTTTGAAACAATCTAATTTCCTGAGCAGTGGAATCCAAATCAGCAAATCGCTTCCGAAATTGTTCTTTCAAATCTAAAATGACTAATTTGCAAACGAGGAAGGAAATTCTGCTTCACCCTTTTTATGCAACTCTGCACAGTATAGCATATGAACAAAGTTACAATTTTTCACTTGGCTCTCCAGAAGTATCAACTTTGCTCTGAATGCCTTGATAAGTGCAAATAAATCACAGATTAAGTTATTTTCACCCTGCAACTTGAAATTCAAGTGGTTCATATGGTTTACCAGATCAGTAAAACTGCTAATTTCCAAAGCCACTCGGTATCTGATAAAAGTGGTTCGTGATGGTTTCTCTCGGTAAGAAATATATCAATTTCATTCCTGAGCTGAATGAAGCGCGAAAGAACCTTTCCACAGCTAAGCCATCGAACTGCAGTATAATATGTCAGGTCAATAAGCTTGGAATCACATTTGCCAGTACTCACTGGAAAATTAGTTCAATTGGCGCATTTCTGCACAATTCTTTCGTGGTCCGGATAAAATCACATCGCGGGCTGCAGGCTGTAGTTTGGAGACCCTTGATCTAGACTATACAAGATGTGTGACTCTAATGTCAGTAAGAACCAACTATTATATATATCTGAAATGGAAGCACACAATAAGCTCCTGACATTATTATTCAGCATGGTAGCTGTCCAGCTTTCTTTCCTGGTTAGTAAAGTCACTTTCTGTACACATGTGAAACAACTCCATTCCATTCCGTTTTGCTTCAATTGTGAACTGTGTTCTGTGACTGGTAGAGTTTAAATCATATGCCTGTCTTTCATGTAAGTTTATGGAGATAAACCAGAACCAGCAGCACTTATTTAGAGATCTGCGCTGCGCTGGGGCAAGGAGTGTCTCAAAGACAAATGGGCCTCCATAACAACACATGGTGTCCCAGGGTAATGTTGAATGCACACACAAAATCATTTCAGAGAAGCCCTCGGAAATCTCTGTTCAGCGAGCAAGATTAGAACAGGTCTGAGAAAATGGTACACTTTAAAATTGCATTCTTGTATTGGAAGAGGACAAGTCTTGCTTCGACAAAACTGGTTTTCTGATGAAGCAGTGTTCTGTATGTATGGAACAGTCAACAGACACAGCTGCTGTGTATGGGGGAGTGAAAAGCCTCATGAAACATGAGTGTAAGGTCAACACGTGGTGTGCTGTGATGAAGATCATCATCATCAGTACTTTCTCCTTTGAAGATGATGGCTGGTGAGGAGTTCTTAGTGATGACGGAGGAGTTTACAATTAGATGGTCTACCACCTCACTTCTACCATTGTGTTCATGCCTTTCCAGGTGTTACTCCCTTCTCCCTTCGATCCTGCTTTTATGGTTTATAAAATGCACAGTTAATCAAGAAAAGGTGCAAAATGTGAACGTGTCATGTGAAAGAACTGCTGGAGCTATGGAGTGTGTTACCAATGAAATATCTATTATTGTTAGGTAAAAAAAAAGGTAAAGTTGTCCCTGTGCTTAACTAATTAAGCACTATGCCATGAAGATGTATGGGGGAGTGGAAGAATGGATCCACATTTTCTTGACCTCAGCACTAGCTCGAGGTGAGTGGTCAGCTTTAGCCCCAGGGAGAGAACTCCCGGCACCAAATGATTTGGAGGCTAGGCAGACCCCAGAGCCGGTCTGGATGTGGAGAACAGAAAATTCTTCACCCTACCGGGACTTGAACTTGGACCCCTCCACCATCCAGCCCGTAGTCAGTCGCTATACTGATTGCACTATGCTGGCTCCTATTGAAATTTAATGAGCATGTAAGGAACTTGGTGAGGTGCAGCGTTTGAAAACATATTAAGTTCTCCTATTCACTCAGCAACCACAGCCACATAATATTTCATTTTATTGACATGGGGTAAGACACTTGTACAGCAACAAATGGCAACATGATTGATGAAAGATGAATTTTAAAAGATTTGGAAAGAAGTGATCATGGCCTAATCAAGATATTAGTCCAGCATTTGCCTGGATGGCCTGAGAAAAACCACAAAATCCTCAGTATGTATAGTCACTGCACCATCTGAGGTCCAAACAGAGCACATCCTCAACACAAGTATTACTGGTACATCAACCTGCTCAGTAAAACTGAATTTGATATGCTGCAGAACATTCAAGAAATTAACCAGCAGTTGAACTCTGACCCCTTGGTCATCCAGCCCGTAGCCAGTCGCTATACCCACTGCACTATCCGGGGTTCCATGCTATACAGCATACCATTATTTACCGATTCTTGTCTATGCTCTCATAAATTGGGTGCCCTGAAAGTTCCTTTATCGAGATGAAACGTTTAAATGTGATAATTTTCACTTCTGTTTAGACTGTTATTTGTAGCAACTGGTAACATTGTGGCTGCACTAGCACTTGTTTCTATCAGCTGTTGCATTATAGGTGTATTTACTCAATTTTTATTTGCTTATATTCGTATTCGTATGAGAGGGGGTGGGTTTCCCCATGCACTTAGACCAGTTATTGGTCCACTGTGCGTCCCCCTTTAATTTCTACTGTCGCCATACCCTACCGGTAATGGTGCGTGCCATCAGCCCCCATAGAGCCAACGAGGTCGGCCCTCGGTACCTTGATGCTTTCCCCATCCACCAGAGGCATTGGAGTCTGCTTGGGCGGGAAAGTGCCTGTAATTTAGCTCAGAGGTCTCCTAGAAACATGACGTTCTTTTACGTGCCGTAAATCTACGACACAGGACACACGGCTTAAAGTCCCTCCCGGAGGACTTGTTCCCTGAATTTTTCCGCCCTTAAAAATTTCACGACCTCCGCCAGGTTTGAATCTGCGTACCTTGAGTCATGAGGTGGGAACGTTACCCCTAGACTACGGAGGCCGCTTTATTTGCTTATAAGTAAAGTGACTTCCTCTGTGGTCTAGTGGTCACTGCTACAGATCCTGAGGTATCCCAGGGTTCAATTCCCGGCGCTACAAGATTTTCGGGGAAGTAGTGGGTCTGGAATGGGGTCCACTCAGTCTTGTGAGGATAACTGAGGAACTATTTCAAGGAAATAGCGGCTCTGGCATAGAAAAGCAAGATTAACGGCCATGCGGATTCATTGCACTGACCACTCGACACACTCTTTGAACTAAAAGTTGGCACTAACAGACGAAAATCTGATAATGCAAACTCAGAGCCACATAGTGCATGTTCTAAGAATCCAAAGCATAACTGTCGTAGTGTTCCACTGGAGTGAGCAGCAGGCTGTGGATGGACAGAACCCAACACCTTCTGAGAGCTGTTCTCGGTGTTTCGTAGAGTTGCTGGCTTCAGCTTTCCATGCAGCATCTCAATGTAATGGGCAACGTTTACTGACACATCTCATTCCTGATGATAATCATGAATGGTCCCCGTGAATCCCTGAACAATGTGAGCATAACTTCTCTATTGATGGCTAGACTTGAATGGGGGGGGGGGGTTGAATTCTCTCTGGCTTGTAGTGGTGGCCTCACATTCTGTCACTAGTGACAATGTGGCTCAAAAAGGCATCACCCTCCTCATGATACCAGTTCAAAAAGCAGTTACAAATGTACAAATGGTTACATCCACGCTGTTTCGGGAACAGACTTTGCACAAATTTTATGGAAATGAAGCCTGTGGCGGATGATTTCACAGGCAGAACAATGAATAAGTTGGTTTGCCATTTCCCTGACCGTCATACTCCCATATTCAAGAACTAGCACAGAGACTTCAAAATTCCCCTCAATAGCTGCATATAGGATCCAAATTATTCTTTGTCAATGATAATCATTCAACCATTTCTGAACATGTCAACCCATTTACACTTGCTTCACTGCAGCAAAAGGCTGTCACAGTATTGAGCTGATAGCCCTTGATGAATTTCCACACCTCTTACACCTTCAACCCACAAAAATCAAATCAATGCATGATGCTCTTGTTTGGTGCATGTGGCATTGGGGTGGCCACAATGATGCCACTAACAGTAGAGAACAACTGAATAGTGCAAGTCAGTTAGGTTAGTATGACAACAGCTTGAGCTATGGTGCAGGCTGCCATATGAACTAACTACTGAAAGTGTCACTGAACAAATCAGAAACTAATCTGTAACTCCTGGGGGTAATATCTACCAATACATATTATTCCTAAAAATGATAGTGTATACATAATCTTACTTTTAGAATTATCATGATAAAATACAGTTTTTGAGTGTCTTTGTAACAGAAAATTTTCTCAAATACAGTCTTAACTTGAATCTAGTCAATTTTATTAAGGCCTACTTCTTGAACAACTGCTCATCTTCCAAGAAGTAATCATGTATAACATTTTATTTGTATGATGGCACAGAGTACTGAATAAGGTTAACATCAAAATAATGCTGTACCCCCCCACTCCAACTTCCACTTTTTATGCTTGTTAGGACATCACCATAACATAAAAACACCTAATAAATCATGTGAACTGCTACAACAAATAAAAAAAGCTACTTATATATTAATGTTATATTTTAGCGTCCTGTTGCACTGATTTAAGTCCATGATTTATTTAATCCGTCTTGCAGTGCATACACTCATTTATCTCCTTCTCTCCCTCGCACTACATGTTTCGGCATAATAATGCCATCTTCAGGTGCTTACTTATCCACGTCAAACCAGTTCATTGCATGCCATGTTCACACATTAAAATAACTAAAATATGTATCTATCATATACATTGTCAAACGTTAAAAATATTAAAATTGTTCAGGATACCACATCGCTACGTCGCCCCTCACTACGTCAGTCACGCCCATTCTCCTTTGTTGGAGCACTCCTTCACTATCTTGTGTGTTGTGCTTTTGTTGTGTCGTGCTCCTGCGNATGTAGTGCGAGGGAGAGAAGGAGATAAATGAGTGTATGCACTGCAAGACGGATTAAATAAATCATGTACTTATATATTAATGAGCAACTCAAGAAATTTAAAAATTTACTGCCTTGATCCAGTGGCCGCATGGTCAAAGGCATGAACTGTCTTCACAAGTAAGAACACTGGGCCACTGGATTCAATTCTCACTCGAGGCATGGATGTCTGTATTGTGTGCGTTTATTCTGCGTTTCTGTTGTCCTGTGTAGGTAGCAACCTTGTGATGGACCGATCCCCTGTCCATGGAGTCCTAACAACTGTGCATATTTTAAGAAACTGAAAAAGCAGCCAAGGTCCAAAGGGCTGTAGAGCCAAAACAAGACAGACAGAGATGTGTCTTTTAGCCTCCAACAAGTTTATAACTGTCAATCTGACATAAAAATTATCTTGTGTTTTGAATCCTTTGGAAATTTATGGGATTTGCTGAGAACTGACGTGCAGGTGAGCAGTCATAGATTACCAGCAATCAAACACAAGCGCAAGAATAAGCATTCAATGAAACTGTAAATCAATGATCAAGGTTTGGGGCAGTGCACCATACAGGCTTGCAGAAAGAATGCGAACAAGCATGCTGGAAAACTGCTGCTCTACTTCCTTATAGCTACTCATTTTACATAATGGAGGGCTCATGTGGGAACTTCCATCAAGTGGTGAAATCATGCAATAANGACCGCCGCTTGTCGGCGAAGTTAATGTCAACTTTAGTGGATAGAGGGTGTTGCGTGGTCAGCACAACAAATCCCCATGCCCGTTAATTTCGGTTTTCTAGACCGGAGCTGCTATATCCTTGAAATAGCTCCTGAAATATCCTCACAAGGCTGAGTGAACCCCATTCCAGACCAACTACTTCTCTGAAAATCTGGTAGCGCCGGGAATCGAACCCGGACCTCTGGATCTGTAGCCAGGAACTCTGACCACTAGTCCACAGAGGCAGCCAATAAGCAAGTATTCAAAATAATATTCACTGCAATGTTAAGAACAGACTACACAGCTCAGATGTATGCGTGGAGTGAGACAGAGTCCCTTGGCACTGTAGCCTCAAATAGGCCTGTTGTATCACCCCTGATAATCAGCATGGAGCACTGGTAGAATGATAATTGGCAGGGGAAGACTTAGAGCGCTCAGAAATAAACGTGATCCAATGACACTTTGTCCACCACAAATTCCACATGCAATATCCTGGAACTGAATCCGGATCTTTGCAGTACGAAAACCTGACATGTGGCAAGGTTAAGTGCAATCACATGATATTAATAGTACTTCCTACTACCCACTTCGGAATCTCTTCCCACAAAAGCAAGAAGTCCATGTGAATAAGCATGCACCACACCATGGAGATTGGGAATTGGTGGAATAGCTCCACACATTCTTAACTACAGCAATAGATGAAGAATAATAAGTTTCATCACTTTCTGTTTCATATGGGTGTGAAATTGGTCCTTCACTCTGCACGAGGGTACGAGTGCAGTCAGGGGTGCATCAATAGCTATATGCACCTGGATAGTATTCAGGGTGGATTACCCTTTATAAAATTCAGCATAAAATTACTTAAAAAGAGCTCTATGTGAGGCTGAAAAGTGGTCTAACACTGAGTAAAAAAAACTGCACACAAACAGCAATAAATATTCACTAACAAAATTCAACAGGCTGTATACAGGTAAGCAAGAATCTTAAAACAGCAAACTAGTTAAGGGCTCAGGCTGTAGTTAAAAAGAAAGCATGAAATAAAGCTGTCAACCCTTGTAACAAAGGAATGCCATGATGCTGGGCCTGTCACTCTAGGGGAACAGAGAGTCTGAGGGGAAGTGAATGTCTTGTGAGAAGAAACACTCAGGAGATTCACATGGTAAGGTAAAAGGTAAAGTTGTCCCTGTGCTCAAGTAATTAAGCACTATGCCATGAAGACATAAGGGGGAGTGGGTAACAATGTGGATAGAAGCAGTCATGCACTTATTTGAAGTACTATCAAGGCTTTGCTTTTAGGGACTGAGGAAAATCATTAAATACTTCAATCAGATGACAGACAAAAAGAAAATTGTCAACAGTCATCTTCACTAAATTTCATATTTACATCACCCACATTTTCATTACTCATAAGTAAAAATTAACAATTTTCACAACATAATACATACCTCAAAATAAGGGCTACATGCTGCAAGAACAGCACGATGAACTCGCAGTGTGTGCGTGTTACACATTAATGTAACATCTACCAAAGTCTGATGTTCTAGTAGCTGACCCAGACGTGTGGCTAGGTGCGAGGGGTGCTCTTCCCACTGCACCATAAATCTTGTACCCCCCATCTTTTGGTACACCTCACCACCTAACACATGGTAAACGAAAGTGAGAATGTGTTTTATTATTCATTCACTGCAAGCTGTGGCTACATACACCATGATTGTACTCTGCCACCTCAACTCTAAAAACGCTGCAGAATATGAGAGGCCAATACCTACGCCAACACACATCTTGAACATTCATGTTTAGCTTATCCGTTTAATATTTAACATATTATAACTGTATGACGTAAATCTTCTAAATAAAACATTAGTTTCATATTAATAGATGTCCATGACTTTCGGTTCCCACCAAAACGTAGGCACCTCGGTCTCGGGGTACATAGAATAAAATGCATTTACTACGTATTTGCACAAAGTATGAAAAATGTATTGTAATAACATTATAAAACAAAATTAAACGGTAATACAGACCTATCACACAACGTAAAAGACGCACCAGCAGTCTCTGTAGCTTTCGAACAAATACTCATGAACAAAACAACGACAATCGCCATTAGCAAGCTCAGCAAAGATTATCGAAATGAACGCCATCTATATGCGCAGTACTCGAAAAAACAAATGCCGTCAACCTACCTACTGCTAAACTACCATCCAAGCGGGTAAGTTGAATTTGGCTGGCAATTCGTCTTTGCCCAAAGTCTGTGGTTTTCGAAATTATAAGCAAATGTGAAAGCCAGTCACTGGATTCGGCAGGAGTGTAGGCGCTGTGGCACCAGAAGCTTTTGGCTATCCCCAGGAATTTAATTCTGGAGATTTTGTACTAAATTATTAGTCTGGTACCACATTTTTTATTTCTGTTTTTTATCTATTAGTTGTTGTTTACCACTGCCAATTGTCTTTGTCATTTGTTGTTGTAACTACTACATACATGTAAAAATATTAAACACCTTTGCATTTTCAACTTAAAAGGAATCTTTGGTAGTTCCAGTTTATTTTGCTCATCTTCAGACACACACACACACACACACACACACACAAACTCTGTGATTTTAGTCCGCAAGCGAACTATACTGACCGAGCGACTGCCGCTTGTCGGTGAAGTTTAGTGCCAACTTTTGAGGACAGAGGATGTCGCGTGGACAGCGCAACGAATCCCCACGGCCGTTAATTTCGGTTTTCTATTTTCTGTTTTGCTCATCTTCAGACACATACATTTCTTAAATGTACACATGAGTGTGACTATGAATGAATGACACTAATACAGAACAGTTTTGCCTAAAGTTAATGCTCTAAACTTCTATTCTGAATGTGCTCAGTTGGAATATCAGCTGGGACACTGGCTATCCTGACTTGGGTCTTTCATGGTTCTTCTCAGTCCATCCAGAGAAATGCTGGGATAGTACCTTGTTTAGGTCATGACCACTTCCGTCCATATCCTTTAAAATTCTTCAGTCATCCATGCTAGTCTGAATGCTGAAAGCATTGTTAAATGACCCATGGACAGAATAACACTGTGACTGACACTAGCATTGCCCTTGCTTCCACTTGGCCTGCTGAAATACTTTTTTTTTGTACAGATTTACTTGAGTATGAACTGGCTGTCTTTGTTTCTAAAATACAGCAAGAACCATTTTAGGGACTGATTTCACAGAGGGCAGTGGAAATATTTTGTAAAAATTTGGTTTCACAAACTTAAAAAACAGATAGTCACACCCCACACTAACCTACTACACTAAACTAGACTACAAACATTATCATTCTAGAAATGATTTCATGATATTTCATCTAGAGTTGGAGAGTAGGGGCTCCCACAGCTTACTATTGTACAGTGTGAGTATGATGAATTCCCAAGAAGAATCTCAAATGGAAGAAGAAAGCAGATGGTGGTCCTTCCCTCAACATTTTATACTCCCATACATTACAATGCAACACTGCATTCTAGAACTGGACCATCTGCCTTTTCTCAAATTTAACATGCATTCGTAACTTCCAGACTTTGAGCAGTACATCTTTAAAATTGTCGAATATAAAGGATATAAATATTCAGTGATTTACATTTCAGCACTCTATACGACACCTAAAAATGTAACTGAATGAAGGTTGTCTTGATCAAGACTGGCCATTAAGCCATACATTTTGTAAAGCCAAGAGAACATTGAAAACTTAGAATAAAATGTGGCAGTTACATTCTTGCTTTGTTAATAACACACTACAACAGACTCTCTTACCTAATCATGTAGCTGACACATGGTGCTGGGTATTTCTTGCACACTTCAGGGTTGCTCGGCTCTTCCACAAGTTCCCTGCATTTATGGAACACTGCCATTACCACAAGTGCCTGCTATTGGACTTTATCACAACCATACTTCTCCAACTTCCTTTAGAACCTGTGGCACTACATGATGTCTCCTTTGAGGTTTCCAACTAAAGCTTCCTATGCATTTTTCGTCAGCCACAATCTCGCTAAGACTTCCAGTCATCTTATACTCCTTGATTTGATAATCCCAATATTCAGTGATGATTATAAACTGTCTTGCTTCTTAGCTCAGTTTGTAAATTTTCTCTGTTTGGTTACTTCCACTCTTCAAACTCCAAATATTTATTCCTCTGAGGGCATCATTTTCTTTTAACACCCAGTTTCCATGCTCTTCCCTTATATCGAGATACGCATAATGAATGACCATGATGGTCAACCACTACACTACAAACTCTCGCCCCAGCAAGAACATTCAATACAGCCACAGCCAACACAACCATAAGGCAAACATGTGCACTTCAAGGATAGTCAAATAAAACAGATGGGTAACACAGAAAACCAGAAGGAATTCAAGGCTACTACATAAGTGAAACAAAATACCATTACAGTGAGCAGCAGATTCCTTAATCAAAACCTGTATACCTAAAGATGGCTGGTTAGGCTGAAACATGTAGCTTCAACAAAGAGAAAGCAACGGTGAATAGTAACCGACATTGCACATAGATGGCATAACAGCACCAACATAAAACAAGAGGAAAAAACTACGAGTTTTGAGGTTCCCTTGGTGGTGATTATTCAGATTGATGTCTTCAGTGTTGCGCACTGTGTAGTCTTACAGATGGACACCAATGTTTCAGAGGTGCATGCTGCCACTGTCTTCATGGCTGAAGTGTGTAGTGTAAGGACTCAGTACAATTCGATAGACATGTTTCAAGGGCGGTGGTCATTTGGACCCATGGGAGGGGGAAAGGAAATGGCACCCAGTTAAGGCCAACAGGAACATCACATGGAAGACAGCCCTCTTCTGGGCTCTAATATATATTTTTTGCCATAGAGGTATATGAAATAGTGAGACAGGACAGCCCCCTTCAGGGCCACAATATTGTTTGCTATCACAAGACATTAGATAAAGAGGGTTGGTCAAGTGAAAATCAGTATGATTTAATCTGTTTCACAGAAATGTGGCCAACTCAAAGGTGTCATAACTAACTCTTGTCCCATGAATATGGAGGTAGTATGTTCCTCCAAAACACTGGTAATGATTTACCAGACGGTACAGAATCAGATCTTAGAGGAGAGTAATCTTCTTTGAAGTGTGATCAGCTCTGAAACAGTAGATCTGTATCTGTAATAAAAACAGACATAAACTCTTATAGGCTATAATGGGAGGGGGGGATTTGGAAATAAGGTACACTTCACCACGATTCTTGAGGTCTGCACATTATGTGAAATCTGTTATTACAAATGAACTATTTACTCTTTTATTACAAAATGTAATTTCTGTGGAGCCAATTTTATGACACAAGAAATATTTTTATACTGAAATCTGCTGATAGGAATGTAGTGGCATGTCATTAATCAGTCAGATTCAAAAACATGATCAAGTGCATCAAGTTCAAAGGCATCTTCATTCTTCTCATCTGGTACGCACTTGGGCAGTCTCTTGCCCTCAGTGCCCTCCTGGAGTTTGATGTGAAAGAGGATTGTAGAAGTCATGGTGCACTAGGGGCACAAACGGCAGGAGGTCCTGTAGGTTTGTGAACTTCAAGTACAATACTTCATCTTTGGTCATTATGGAATTATGCATTGGCCTTCAGTTCAGGAACTTAAGGATTTTGCTTCTAGCTTGACATGACTTTTGAGTTTAGTTTAAACAACGGTACAATTTCACTCAAGATAACTTTGTAGAAATGTGTACATGGCTCCTGTTTTGTAAAATGGAGCCACTGCATTTTATGCATTCTGGTCACTGTCTCTTTGAAAAATCGTTTGAGAATGCCAAGAGTGATGAAATCTTATTGATTCATCTGCACTACAATGAATTTCTTAGTAACTTTGGCCACAGTAGTCTTCTAGTCTTGTGGTACAAATATCTGCCTGTCAGTAATTTTCTTTGCCTTTTTGATTTATCCAAAGCTTTCATCGCACTCCATACCAAGTCTGATGAAGATTAGTTGCATCATTTAGGTAATATGACCTCCAAAATCTGAGAGGCTGCAGTGTTGGTATTACTAATGGGAAAGATTCATGAGTTATGCTGCTGAGATGACCTCAGACTGAATGACATACAGACCAAGTTTCATAACAATTAATTCAGCAATTCAATTAATATTAAGGGCATTACTTCAGCAACTTCAGAAGCTGTAGTGCTGGTACTGATGACAAGAATTACTTGAGTATGTCACTGAAATGGCCTCAGGTGGCATCACATACATAGCGAGTCTCGTGACGATTGGTTCACTCCTTCAATTAATATTGATGGTAATTGATGGTAATCAACTGGAGATGTAATTTTGGTATTATTGATCAAAAGGATATATGAAGCATGCCGTTGAGATGGTTCCATGTGGCATGATATACATACCAAGTTTCATTAAGACTGGTACAGGCGTTCAAATAATATCAAGGTTTTGCCTCAGCAAATTAACACATTGCGGACCGGTTGTTTAAATATTTAAATCACCCTGGGACCGGGGTTTTTAAGCCTAGCACCCTAACTTGTGCACTGTTCACTTTAAAAATTAATATAAAACTCCTAATTAATTTTAGGAACTAAAATTTTTGGAGAACACATACCAAAGCTCCTAGAAGTGCTTGCGCGTGTGATATCTCTGGAAACATTCCCCTTTGTGAAGAGAGGGGCCCTGTGGCCCCTGTCACTGTCACTTTCACTGAGGCTGGCCTCGCTATCAGAAGACGAAGCAGTTGGCAAATCTGATAGCTCATTGGAGAACAAATCTAATATTTCTTGTTCTCTGAGAGAACGCTTCACCTGCAACTGCTTTCGTCTCTGATCCATGTTGCACTGCTAACTTCCTGGTTCATACGTGGAAGCTTGGACTCGAACAAAGGGTTTTTTCTTTAGGGTGTGACAGGAAATGAGTGTGATCATGTTACTGGCTAAGCTAGCAACATTTCCGAGGTCAACTACGCAGTAGTTATGATGCAACATGGCCACACAGCGAGATATAGTCAGTTGCAACATAATGCGTCAGAAAAGGACCAATTGGCCTGCCCGGTCCGCAACGCTATAGAAACATAGAGGGCCTATTGGCCCCTCTGGTCCTGAATGGGTTAAAAGGCTGTAATGT